TCTTCCAAGGCCCGTTCACGTGAGACTTCATTCTCTGCACCTGCTCCCTATTCCCAGCCCACTTTAAAAGCCAGGCGCTGACGCTCATCCGGGTTCTGCATCTGATTTCCATATCGTGCGAGTCCGGGACCTGGAAGCACCTGGTCCCATTAAGGTTTTAACCCCTGTTCCTTGTCCCCTGTCCGCCGGTTTCGACCCAGCCTTCGTGGTTTTAACGTCGTGTTTTGATGGATCTCCTGGTTTTGGACTTACCTTCGTGTTTTGGATACTCTATGGATTACTCTTTGGGATTGTTCGCGTCGGCCACATCTCCCCTGTGCACCAGCGCACCTTGGACACGCCCCCCTGTCTTCAACCCCGTTTTCCTGCATGACGTTTCCCCAGTGTTTCCCCACTCCATCGGACTGTGTCGTCCGCATAGGGTCCGGAAAGAACTGTTCGTTACAGGACACATAAGGTACAGCATGCCCTGATGGATATTCTCACTGAAGCTTGGCTCAGGGTCAGAAACATTCCCTCAAAGACAGTCAAGAGCCGACCACTGCAATATTCGCAAAACGTGCAAGTATTGTGATTCGATGAGTCTGTGTTTATTGAAGCCAGTGTTCCTCTATTCACGTACCACTACATACCTAATAAACCAGAAGAAGTATATACCCCAGTGAAAAGAGACAGATGACATGTCTATTCTTTATTTTTGTGAAGAGAACACAGTACATGATACAACAACATCTCTACCATAAACGAGAATGACTCGGGGCACTTCTGAACAGATTCACATTAATTAAGCTGATGTGTTGTGGCAAGTCTTCCAGAAAAAATACATAAATAATTGGATAACTCTAAAAAGAAAGTATTTGGAATTGGGCACTTCATTTTTCTGCATTTCATATTGAGTGGATTCACATTCCTATACAATATGTGTGTTTTCAGTTCAAATGCTCAAAAGAATAAACATCATTCAGATACACAGCGAACCACAAGACTGCTGCTGAGGGAGGATTGCTTGTCACATTTTTAATATCTGTCCTTGTACTGTAAAAAGGAATTTTGTTTTTTATTCACATTCAATTCTTTACTCATTCACTGTTTGTTTTCATGCATGAATATTTTGTAAGAGTTACAATGGATTATTAGGTGAGACTTTTCCATTAGCTCAAGCATGAGCACTGCACAGTGGTTTTCTCTGCTGATGTTGCTGTTTACACAGTTGTTCAATACCATCTAAAAATGGAGCCTTCACCTGTTTTTCACCACTATAAAGTTAATTCTTAAACACTCGCAAAGAAATAAATGTATGGATTAGTCTAATATCCAGTATACTGTATGCATTACTGATAAAAGGGCTCTAGACAGAGATGATTATGTATTGTTACCTGAAATATGGGATCAATGTTAAAATAAATGACGGATACTGTATGTTGGGAGACTCAGAACTGGGGGACAAGGAAGGGAAGAACCAGGATTCAGGACTGATTAATCTGAAAATACAATGACCCCAGTAAAAGAAAATGTGACAAGGTTTAGTTTTTTACTGCAAACATGTTTTGCATTTAACAGAAGGGGCTGCTGATACCAGTGAATTAACCTGTGATCTGACTCATCTAGCACTGACCCTGCATCGCTATAGTTGGTAATTATAACTTCATTTTGTCACATGGATATGAGCAAGATTCCTCATAGACCACAAAGGGCATTTCATAAAACGTATATTTTAAAATACTTTTTCCTTTGATTCATAGCCAGTCCAAAATCTTTGCAATACCCAAGAAGATTGCCTATGAAGATTTTTATCATCTCTAAATTGGATGGTATTCCTGCAGAAACATAGACTCTGGGGGCCAGAGGTATAGATTTCTCCATCAGAATGTGTTATTTGATAAAATGCTGAAACAAAGTAGTGTCACTAGAAGTAGAGGCATCAGAAGAGCTAGAATAAAGACAAAATGATGAAAGAATCAGTAAAAGTAAATGTAAAATTGAAAATAACACCGTTAACAACTCTATGATACCAAAGAACTAGTAAAACAAACCAAAAATATTCAAAAATAAAAATCCACTTAAATTACGAAAACAACTGTTTAATGTACGATTTTGGAGTGATGAAAAAATATTGATCCAAACGTCACAGGAAGTGTAAATTTGTAATGGATTTCATAACCTCTGAAAATTCAAAACGCTTCACTTCAGATACAATCAGGCATGAGTGGAAACAACAGACAAGACAGAAAAAGTTAATTACAATCTACGCTGGATTTTACGAAGTCAACAGACTTGTTTAAGGCTAATCCAGACACCGTAAAGTAAAATGCCACCAAAAGGGGGCTATACCATTGCAGCTAAACAATATCATTAACTGAGGGTGATACATGATAATTATTGTGTTCACAGCTCTTTCTCTTGTTTAGTGAAGTCAGTGTAGTAAACGTTTGACTGGGGTTTTAGCACACAGGAGTCTACAGTCCAGTGTGCTGTGTTGATACTGAGGAAGGCTGGGGGCTCCCTCACGCCCTGACAGGGTCCAGCAGAGTCCTGCTTCAGGTGGTCTGTGCACAGACTCTGCACGTGATGCCCTGGGAGACAGGGCAGTGTCTCTGCAGTGGTACCATTCTTGTCCCCTCTGCATTACAATGAAAATTGGTTTATATTTTTTATATTTTATATTATCGGTTTATATTTTTTTGTGTTTTATTAGCTTAATGTAAGATTTGTAACTTTTTTTATTTAGAAGCTAGTGCTTCTTTTTAAACTTAAAGGCTTGTAGAGTTAACAGCAGTTTATTGTCATTGCCTGATTCCCATAAGTGTTCTCTGTCTGCCAGCGTCTCCCTCCCATTCTGTGGAACTATTGTACAGTCTTGCCTGAGAACACAGAAAGTTGCATGGGATTTCTGCAGCTGTAAGTTAAATAACTTAAATCAATTTTCCAGGTTCCATGGCACTGGAAGTAAGTTTTCACTTTCTCTTTGTGGTGGAGATCATTGTTCTCTGTGTCATGAAAAGTAGTGAGTGGTTATTTCTTGTAGATGGTACAAGGTAGATTAGTTGTTTCTGGAAAGCAGCTGAATTGTGTGCCACTGTAAGTCTGCAATGAGCCCCAGGAGGTCCAGACAAGCTTGGAATGCAAGACAGCCTCTGATAAAACCTTTGTGTGAAGGTCTGCTCAGAGGTCTAAAGGGCACTCAGACACACTAGCAGATAACATCAGACTTGCTGCCCCCTAGACTTTGCAGAGCCAAGCCACACAAAAGCACAGATAAAACTCACAAAAACAAGACATTCCTGTCTGGAATGTTCAAGCAGATTGACCATTTGGAGAGAAAGAGAGTGAAAAATCTGAATCTGAGGCTGACTTCTTAGTAAAATGAGGAATGTGAGAAAGGGAATAAGGTACTTTAGACAGGGCATCCTCCCTGCTGTCCACTTTGCAAGAGCAGGTAATTATACTGAGAAGGATAGAGTGGTGAAGAGTTAACCAGAAAGTTAACCGAAAAGATCTTAGCGGATCTTAGCATATTATTCTCTTACCTATCTGACTGTTGGTGCATGAGCAGACGGATTCCTGGTAAGCCACATAGGTACTATGGCCAGCGGCCATATCTCTCTGCAACTCACCACTGAATACACACTGAGGCTAAGCAGGTGTGAGCCTGGTCAATACCTGAATGGGAGACCTCCTGAGTGGGGCCAGCAGGGGGCGCTCACCCTGCAGTCCATGTGGGTCCTAATGCCCCAGTATAGTGACGGGGACACTATACTGTAAACAGGCGCCGTCCTTTGGATGAGACATAAAACCGAGGTCCTGACTCTCTGTGATCATTAAAACTCCCAGGGCGTTTCTCTTAAAGAGTAGGGGTGTAACCCCGGCATCCTGGCCAAATTTCCCATTGGCCCTTACCAATCATGGCCTCCTAATAATCCCCATCTATGAACTGGCTTCATTACTCTGCTCTCCTCCTCACTGATAGCTGATGTGTGGTGAGTGTTCTGGCACACTATGGTTGCCATTGCATCATCCAGGTGGATGCTGCACATTGGTGGTGGTGGAGGGGATCCCCATTACCTGTAAAGCGCTTTGAGTGTGTGTCCAGAAAAGTGATATATAAGTGTAAGCAATTATTAGTATTACTACAATTCCAGGGGACAATGGAGCATATAATGGAGCACTCCTACTATAAGGAGTAGGATAGCTTTTTAATTGACAGAGCAAAGCTGGACTACACCCCAGGTGTAGGTGAAACACATTGTACAAATCCACACAGGGCATTCACACACAGGGACAATTTAGAGAAACCAATAATCTAGTCAGCATTCCTTTGGAAGGTGGTAGGGAAACAGGAGACCCAAGGAATACCGGCTCTAACGTGGGCTTACATGCAAACTGCACACAAAAGGCACCCCAGTCTAGAATGGTACCTAGGACATCACTAACTGCAGTGCCACTAAATGTTTAAATTAAGTGTTAAAAGAATATAATCAAAGTAACTTGCACCCATCATGTGTAAGTTACCCTAAAGTGTATTGTTGGTTAAAAATGCAAAACTAAATAGTTTTAGGTATTAATAACAGCAGTCATTGATTCAATGCATAATCTCACTGGGTTTTTTCCTCATTAATCAGCCCCTTCTGGATTAACTCTGCTGGCCCCAAACTATTTTGGATAAGAGTCAGGAGCAGAAGGTGAAATAAGGGTCTTTGTGATATATCACTCTTTTACCATTTGTTATTTTGTTTGTGTACTGGTTGACCTTTACATTTCTACATCATTTTTTAAAGTTATGCAGACCAGAGTGATTCGAAAAAAAGAAACGTGCTATCCTAATCAAACTGGCTTGTTGATTCAATTCCCAGATATGAAAGGAATGCATCTGTACTGGGCTGCAGGAATTTCCTTCAGGTCAAAAGCACCATAAATCTCACTAGCTGTCTTGCATCATATCTAAAGTATTGCAAAACAGCCCAATTTTAAAGTTCCCAAGTGAAGCAGAAATGTGAAACCAAGCAGGAAATTCTGTATAAATAGGTATAAAAAGACAAGGAGTTAAGGCATTCTGACTCACAGGGTTGTGCATATTCCAAGTTAAGCAGATGGCTGTAATGAAGGTGATTCTGTGCTGGACTCTAGGCTGTTGCTTTCTGGGTGCAAGGAGCCTGGTGGTACAAGCAGCCGATGACGACAACAACAACATCAGAGAAGGGTTCTGCTTCTTCAGTGTCAAGCAGGAGATGAATGAACTCGTTGCCCGGCTGACCAAGGTGGAGAATGATTTGAAAAGATTACAAGAGACACCCAGGATCGCGTTTTCGGCCATCCTGTGCAACGGCGAGACAATAAATCTCGGAAATTTCAATACCAAGACTACAATTGTTTACCCCAAGGTACTGACAAACATGGGGGGAGCCTACAACTCAGCAACTGGCATTTTCACCGCCTTTGTGAAGGGCACTTACTACTTCAGCTTCACTGTGTTTTTGGCCAACGCTGCCAACCTGTATGTTAATCTGATGAAAAACTCACAACACGTGGTCTCAATGTGGGACACCCAGTCCACAGACCTCAATGACAGTGGAACCAATTCTGCTGTTCTGGAACTGGAAGTAGGGGACCAGGTGTATGTGAGGCTGAATGAAAACAGGCAGCTGTATGAGGATAATACCTGCTACAACAGTTTCAGCGGATTCCTGCTCTTCCCTGCTTAAGCAACTAGAATTTCAGTCATTCCTTTTGTAAGTTAATTTGTTAGAGGATGATGTCAGATTCTTCAAAAATGTCCACTACTAGAGTACAACAGCCATCTGTGGCGCTATATTCTCCACTTCATGTTCACAAGCGAGCCTTGTTTATTATCTATAACCCCATGTACATGGGCTCTAAGGGGGTGGGTAAAGTGTTTTTTAATTCATTTTCATTCCAACACTATGTGTCTTAGAATATGTACAGTATGAGAAGCAGGAGAGCTCTGTTTGTCTTATTATACCAAAATTTCCAAAATCTTGTATTATATACACTTTCTTATCATGTCAGTTAATATCTGTAGTGAAACTGTATAGATGTGGCAGGTAATAATACCGAGGCACACCAGTGAGGAATTCTAACGAGATGTTATAACAATAATAATGAAGAAACAAGATTGTGCACAACAAGGTGATTATATTGATTTACACAACTCTGTAAAGGGGAAAGGGGACTTAAAAACTCATCTCTTTTGAAACCTTCACAGCCGTGCAATATCTATAAAATTAACATTTATTGCAGATATTTGTTGTTCAGCTTATATCAACTAGGCCTTCCAGAAAGAAAGTCTTTCAAGCAGTTTTATAAATCATTTTAATAGCAATGTCTGTTGAAATTTAAAAAATAGAATGATAACAATCTCAGCCAGTGTGACAATAAATCACTGCACATAGAATGTCATTAGCACTGTTAATCTTATTGATTTAGATGGTATACGGTTAAAATGACAATTTGTAATACATTTGACTATCTGACCAATAAAAATAAAAATAACATTTCATTTACAATCTCGTTAAAGCAGCACCAACTGAAAATCCATGTTTTAATTAGTATAATAGATGACTGTTCCCAGTCTAAGCAAGCTCAATATCATTATTCTAACAGAGTTTTCAAAACAAGACACACCTACTTCACCTGTTATAGCAAAAAACCATAATACCTACTTAATAATAAGACAATAAAATCAACAAATATAAGAATAGTCACTGTGAACACATACATGTAATAATTCATTAATAAAATGTTTTAGTTAAACATTTGCTTGTTTTGCAAAAGATAAATCACACACTTTCTGTGGCAGCTTTAGGAAACCGGCTCCTAATGCAGAGCTGGGTCTAATGCAGAGCTGAGTCTCGACCTGAGGATCACAGAACTGGCCAACACTTGGACTGTGAAGTCCTGGAATTAATTGACAACCTGCCTGGTGCAGTTAAAGTCAGGTGCAGGTTCACTAATCTAGACAGATGCTCATGGCAGCCTTGAAACTGGGTGCATGTTGTAGTTAGCTACGGTATTTCTAAAGAATGCCATTTAGAGGGAAAAAGTAAAATATTTGCAAGGTACCTGTATGGTCACAGCTAAAACCGAATGCAAAATCCAAATGCGAAATTGATGCATACAAAAGACAAATACTTAACCAGACAAGAAAATGTACTGTTAACACATAACAGCTTTCTAAATTTGGCTGCCAGTAGTTAATTTATCAGGGAATCTCAATCAATCAATCAGCATTATCTTGAGGGAAACCAGGGTATCGGCTTCAACAGCATAGCTGGATAGCTTGTTCCAGACTCCCACAATCCTTTTTGCAAAAAAGTGATGTATACAGACATGAAAAACCTGTCTTAAAACGAATTAATGCTTCAGTCTGGAGAAAAATGGATTGATGTCACAGGACGTTAGACATGGTATGGAAAAAGTGGCAGAAATTAATGCTGTGCTTAAAGATCAATAAATTTCATTTTCAATGTAATGTGTGTATGAGCATCTTCACTAAAATAAGGGTGGAGACATTCAGAACATATTCATAACCAAAGTTGTTTGCACCTTGGCCTGAAAATGTTCATTTTAACAAGAATTTAATGAATGCTTATTTTAACTGACTCTTCCTAATTTTTAGTTGCCTTTTGTCTGTATATTGTGGATCAAATTGTTCTATCTGATTTGTATGCAGCTTATTCTGTTATCAAGCGTTTCATATTATATGCTACGATGTTGTATCTTGTCGTTTGATTTAAGAGAACTGTCTCTCTTTAAAATTAATACAGAACATTGCAACACATACCCAGTTTCAAGGCCAGTGTTGCTGTCAATGTAAATTAGTGGGTCTGGACCAGACTTCAACAGCTCTAGATAGGCGTAAAAGTGAATCCCTCACCCCTCTTGGGAGGAGGCGTCTCTGTTGCGTCTCTGTGAATTCCATCACAGACCCTTATCAGCCCAAACTATGCCAAAGCCAGCGCACATTCACAGCAACTGGAGCAGGTTCATTAAAGGTCTGGCACACAGTAATAACAAGGACATCTTACTTTTTTAAATCAGAAATTGTTCTGAATCAGAACACGAGAACATCAGAAAGGTTGCAGACAGGACAAAGCTATTCGGGCCAGCTAGCCCATGGGTAGCTAGTAGCTAATTAGAAGAACTCGGTGACATGCCGGCACACTTGGTGCCAGCAGTGTGATACTGCCCGCATTGGCTTTTGTTCTCATGTTTAATTGGTCAGTCCTTGTCTTCCATACCCCTCTGTAAGACCTCTGGGAACCTCCTCTGGGAACCTCCATCTAACACATTGATTACCCTCTCAGGGAAGACTGCACGATCCTCTTCCTTCTTGGCTACTTTTTACTCATTTCTACAGACAACTAACACTGCTTTCAATATTCTCTCAGTTACATCCTGTTTAATCTGACAAGCTTAACTCTTAAATCATTTAACCAGTAAGCACTGTAGAATTCAGCTCAGACATATGAAATATTCTCTAACTTAAGAGACACTGGCACACTAAACAACGTAATCCTTAATGCCCAGTTTTCCATCTTAACATTATTCAGCATATCATAATGTCTTATTCACCAAACACCAGATCAATCTCTCAATTTTCCCCTCACTAGATCTTACGACTGATCCTGTTTGGCCAGGAACACTGCTCTATAATCAAAACTTGTACCCCTGAAACAGGAGCATCTGGTTTGGGGTTCTCTGTCTCATCACACACTCCAAGATGACTGTCTACTGATGTAAATGTAATTATTGTCTAAACAGTTCAAATAAAGAAAAAACTCAATCTGAAAATATATAGAAATAATGTATAAAAATATAACTGCAACCAAAGTCAAGAAACAGGCTGAAATCAAGAACCAGGAAGGAAATCAAAAAGACAAAAGATGCCTAAAGGTGGAGACAACAAACAATGAGAAAACAGAAGGTAATAACATGAAAATAAAATCAAGAAAAAGAACAAGGACTTCAACAGAGCAGGAGACAGAAGCAAGGCAGGAGCTGAGAAGAGTGAAAACAGGTCAGTAGAGGTCCTGAGCTCAAAGAAGAGGTACAATATTGACCATGGAAAGGCCTGAGAGCACAATGCTTGAGGTGCCCTCTGGCGGCGACACTATGAAACTGTAACAGTGAAATCACACACTATTCATGCTTCAATCTGTGTCATGTAGACTCCTCTCTCTCATCTAAAATAGAGCACTAATCTACTCTGACAAACAATAACCAACTCCTCCCAGCAGCCCTGTTTCAGCTGGTCCGCCCTGTTCCTTCACAACTCACCGCAACCCCATTGAGTCTGGAAATCAATCTGCAAAACCACCTGTCCAGCACGTGTGATACTTCAGTGCAGACATTGCTGCATTTTCTCAATTATCCCTAACCTGCTGAGTCTTACATGCCTGTAAGCCAGCTCAATCTTACTAATACCTTAATAATGTAAACTTCCCTACAGTACAGTTCACTCTCGTCTTGCAACCTGGAGGTTTTTCTCATAGCAGATGTTATAAACCTCTCAGTTGGTTCAGCGGCTAGTTTGGGCATAGCTAATTCCTAATGTCCTGTCTGCTCTTTTCCCTCAGGTGGAATTTCACTTCCTCTGAGGGCTGAATGATCTCAGACCAGGTCTGCCTGTTTTCACAACTCCTCATGTTTTTTTCCATTAACAGTGACTCGTGTCCTCTCACTACCAGTGACAGTCCTGTGGGTTGACTTTGTCAGTGTCTTTAAGGATTTTGAATACTTCAATCAGATCCCCTGGTAGTGTTCTCTGTTCGGGACCATAAATGTTTGGTTATCTGAGCCTTTCAGTGAAGGACAAGCCATGAATGGATCTGTAATTGATTCTGGACAAACATTATCTTTGACAAGTCACATGTATGTAGTTATGTATTTATCACATTAACAAATACTGGCTATACTGGGAGGGTTTCCCCCCAGAAAGAGAAAAGTAGCAAATAAAACATAACCTGCATTCTTTTTCTGAGGTGGGAAGAAATCAGGGTCACCTGAGGAAAAATGTGAGACAATAAATGTGCAAACTCCACACAAACTGAAGTTCAAACACACTATACACACTAAACCTGGGCCCTGGAGATGTCAAGCAGCAGAACCTCCCACTGTGGCTCCCACAGCATTGAATACAGTGGGAAACATGGCTTCCACCTCTTTCACTCTCATGCATATTTACCCTCATTTGCATTTTCTCACTTGCATCTGACTAAATGTGTGGGCTCCTTAAAGAAAATGTCTATATATAATTAATATCCACATATCTAGGCCTGGGAGTATCTGACTGCAAATTGCAAAGACAAGAAAAAACAGCATACAGTATGTGTATTTTTTAGTATTAAAATGCTCTGTTTGATTGGAATCTCTATGATGGACAATTCAGCCAAGATTTAGAGATTCCTTTTTAGTTCTTCTAAAACACACACCAGGTTATTAAAATGATCAAAAAGATCTTTCTCATAGTTTCCCAGTCCCTGCCCTCAGAATTTCAATGTTGTATTGAGATGCAGCTGAGCTCTCATTCACTTAATTAAAACTTTAACTAAGTTAATCATTTTATGTAGAACAGTTTAGAACTAAAGACTAGCAAGCTCTGAGTGTTTGTTCATCATTCCATGGAACGACAGTTCAGCTAAAACAAAAGGATGACACTTTAGGGGATTCAGGTCCTGGATTGAGAAACCCTGGCCTGTATCCTTGGACATTTGCAGAGAGTGAGCCAGGAAGTGAGGAAGGGAAGATCAATGCTTGGCTAGCATTGTGCCAGCAGTCCCAAGCAGCCGGCTTCTGGAGTGTGATGAGCTGAACTTGAGTGGAGATGCTTAGCTGAAGCTTGAGCGAAGTTGTGGAGCTGGAGCAGAGGTGCGGAAAATTTCTGAATAGGATTATTGTTTGTGCTGTGTGTGGCAGATGACTCACTGCACCATCATGCCTGTGAAAAAGAGCATGCAGGAAAAAGAGGATCAGGGGCAGGGACGATGAATCTGTCAGTATATACTCTCTCAGTGAGAGTTGCTGTTTGCCACTGTCAAGCCTGATATTACAACATAATCAAAAGCAGTTCATGATCAGTCTTTCAAACAGTGAAGAGTTTGATCTAATGTTTTAATCTAAGTACAGTACGTGTTTTACTGGGTTTAAACATAGAATACCCATTTTATTACTTGGACTATACTGGACTTAAACTTTATTCTTAACTTGCCTTCTTCCTTATATTGGCCATATACATGTTTTTCTAGTTCAGCTAAAAATTTTGCATACAGAATTTCAAAACCAGACAATCAAAGTGCTGAAAGCAAAAAGATAACATTTATGACTGATTTTCACCTGTGTTCTCTGGGTTCCTGCTAAGCATTGATGTAGATGACATGACGAGGGAGTCTTTGCTAATCAAGAATTCCAAGAATACATGGCCCAGGCAAGTGCCCCTCTTTGCATTTTGCTAGTCGATATACAGTCCAACTCCTCTTGGGCACCTTGGTTCTCTCTTTCATGGCAACTACAAACAGTCTACAGTAGCTTTCTGTTGCAGCCAGTCAGGAAGTATAAAAAAACTCTTAGTCTCACCAATACTACAGCTACTATTTATTAATCACGCTTTACTTCATAATCAAACGAAAACAAGCAAAATAAAACTGAGCAACATATCAGGAAACAGTGGAGCTCTGACGCTGCAGCAGCTGAGTGAAAAAGAATGGCTGCACGTTTGCTTTTTGGTTCATTTATTCATCTAGGCGACACTGACAGTGCCTCCTCCTCTTCTGGAGCAGATCGTTGTTATTCAGTCCCTCTTGCTACTTCAAAGCAAACCAGAAGACACTGAGGCAGTCTGCTATTTCAGTATAGTGGGACATGTTGAAAGACAACGAGATTTCCATATGTTCCCCATGACAGCAGTGTACTGCTGCTCAAGGCTTACTGAACCCCAGGACAGCCCAAGCCATGCCAGATTCAGGCTCTAGGAGTTTCAAAGATGTCCTGGACCTGTTCAGCACAGGTTATAAAGAATATGGATCCACAATAACATTTTATCCGAAACAGACCCAAACATCTCTTTAAGTATAGATTTAAAGACAAGAACTCCAGGGGCTTGAGTAGTACACACCGCTGAAAAACTCCTAACAGGAACATCACACATGATTACTAAAGGGTGCCTGTAGGAGAGAAATGTTTTTTTCTTATTAAAGATTTAATTAAGAGTTTGGGGATCCCTTGGAGCCATGATTCCATTATTCCTCAATCTATAGCATTTCAATAAAAAAGAACACCATATTCCATCACATCCCAGCCTTGTCCAAGGGGGACATCCCCCGAACAACATTACTCACCCTTGTGAACACATGTGGCTGGAAGGGATCATTAGAACTTCATTAACACATTTAATATTGTGGCTGCACATTAGCTGGGCTTTAGAGCACTGACCCAGGGGTTTTAAGCACTTCAGCCACCTTTTTAATTTGGCTGTCAGGTATTTTGTTCATGGGATTTTTGGTTATATTTGTTAATCGTGAATCAATACTGGGCTCTTGTAAGAAAGGCTTCCGATATCTTGTTAAACATCTGTGATATATAGATTCAGTGTTTCTAATACTTAAAAGCAATCTCCTTTCACGAGGAATGACAGCAGCTGAAAGCTTGGGAGAATTTTGAATCGTTTATTGTGATGTGGAGATTTGGCGTAACCCGCTTGGCTGAGGGCCAACCTCCCG